GGGTCAGCTTTATAGTTCACCATCTTGTTGTTGAGAGATGTACTTAATAACAAAATTGGGTCTGTATCTGACACTTGCTCAGTGCAACTGAAAAGCTTCAATTATCGCAATTTGTATGCAGCATTGACTTTGATAAAAGCTATCTTATTGAAAATGATGATGTAAAATTTTTTTTTTTTTATATTTTATTATATTTTCTAATTTTTTTGTGCCAGGCGACATTGAATGTCACTGTTGTCTCTCCTGACTTTTTTTTGTATGTGCAAATTGCAAGTGATAGTGCTGACACATAGTGTCACATAGTGCATTTTTGCCACAGAAGTCATATTCATGTTTGGGACTATATGACAGGGCTATGCTGCCATCCTCCTATCAAATGACAATTTAATGCGCTATCCTGGCGTCAACCAGGCTCAGTCGAACACAAGCACCTGCGGACCTTAACCAAGGTTCCCCCAAATTCGCATTTGTTAGTGAATGAATCTCGGCCAGTGGAATTGGCCTTCCCATTGAGTGTGTGGCACACTCACCCAGGGTAGGGGTCGACCTTTTTGATGTTCAGCCTGAAGTAAGATTGGTCTACATCATGAGTCTGATGCGACAGACAACCACTATGCTACCAGTGACCGATCTTTTATAAGATTTTTTAAAACACAATGGCAGGCATTGATACATATATTAGTAGCACATAAACTTACTTAAACACCAGCGGTGTGTCTGGTTAAAATAAGTCACATTTCAATGATACAGCAAAGAAATGAATGAAATTTTTGTTTTTATGTGCACTTCTAATAGAGGAAATACAGTACTATTTCAGTGTAATATATTAGTCTGTCTATCGCCACAGCAAATCCCTACAGATCTGGCTGCTTATCACTGGCTTATTTGTAGCTTCTTCTTGTCTGAAACTTGTAACATAACCCCAGAATGTTTGATGTGTTTGTGTGTTCAGGCTTTTTCTACTAGTTCTACCAGCTTTCCTTTTTCTTATGTGCCTACCTTGCCAACTTATTCAAGGCCATCTGCATATCAAAGTTTTTTTTGTATTTGTTGCAGTATAATGAACATTAATGTTAGATCTTGTATCCAAGTATCTCAGGTGAGTGTTTTCTTCATATAAGCTGTGTGGTATTATTATACATCAGACATTAATATTGATGATATGAAATCATATCAGAGAATATATGAATTACATTCCAAATGTAATCCAAATCTAGTAATATCTGAGAATCATTCTAACTTAATAACATTTTGAAATCCTTTCAATAAATAAGGGTAGCTTGTTAACCCTAATTAATATTGTAATTTTTTCACCATATTTTGGTGAAAGATATTTAAGACTTTTTCTGTACATTCTTTGTTAATTTTGTTACATTGTCATAATGTCCCAAGGCTAAATGTCTTGATCGATTAACATTTTAAAAAGAATTATGGAGAAGATTTTGCAGATTAATTTTGTGTTAACCTTTCCACCACTAGTTCCCTCTTTTCATCACAAATTCATAAAATAGCCCTGTTTATAGTCTGCACTTTTGTTCTGAAGATTGGGACAAAAATAGCCAAATCTTTTAAGTAAAAACTAAAAATTTACACAAATTTTGTCTGTTGGCTCCCAAATCAGGGTTAATTGTCAGAAATATTGGAGTACAAAGTGCAGAAAAATTTGGCTAGACTGGTGGTTAAAGGTTAATGGACTTTGTCATTCAAAGGAATAATAGATGAGAATAATTTCCTCCAATAGTACAATTATTTCTTTCCATTTTCAGATCGTAGCTAAGACTATGGTGTCTAGAAAATGTGGTGGGGCTATAGTGAACCTGTCCAGCCAAGCATCCATGATTGCACTAACAAACCATGCAGTATATAGTGAGTATCATCAGAAAATTATCTTGATTCAAAAATAAAAAGATTTATTTTTTATCTATTTCACCTGTGTAACTGATTAAAATATATTTTTTTCTGGATTGCCTAGCTTACAGTTTTCTTAAAATGTTTTTTTTTATATATATTAGTTGTCATCTTGTGAGTTCAACATATAGTACTTCATAATTTGTATCATTTCCTAATTAATTAATTAATTGATGCACACATTCGTTCATGGTGCTTTGACCCATCACATTTAAACTTTGATCAAATATGGCTGACTGGTGACCATTTTGACTACCAAATTTGCTAAATTCTGATAATTAAATCTGCAGGAACTGTTTCTAAGATATGAAGTGCAATTTCTTTCAAAATTTGCCTTCTGATCACGGGTTACATGTACACATCATATTTGTTCTGTATCACCTGATACAGTTGAAGGTTTGCATACAAGTACTATAATTGTAAGTAATACTATAGATTGTGGTATTTTATGATTTTTACCAGTAAATCCTAAAATCCCAATTTTGCATCCTGAACATATTTTTTTTTTCAAGATTCAAACGAAAATTTCCAACCAATGATAATTTTTTCATATTCATGGTATCTATGCACTTTCACTCATACTACATTGAAATTTACCTAAAATTTTTGCATGGATTCCTTCAGTGGACATGTATATGTGTACTGAACAGAGATCATCTGCATTCCAGTCACACTGCATTGAAATTGACATAATTATGCATGGAGCCCTTTAGTAGGCTTGTATTGAATATTGAGATTGACTACCTGTAAAACCAACACAGAAACTGTGCATTTAATTGCTTGTTAATGTATCTCTTCAGGTGCATCCAAAGCTAGCATTGATGCTATCACGAAAAACATGGCGTTTGAACTTGGACCTCATAAAGTATGTACCTTCACTCATTCTTATCTTTGGAGTTGACTAAAAACTCAGGAGAGGTAGATTTGAAAAAAAATCTGCACACAGACAATTTAGAAAACATAATTCCTGCAATCTGACAAGTCCTATCTATGGTGCATGGACATTAATGAACATACAATAATAATAATATTTTATTATGCCATATTGAGATGTAATAAATGTAACGAATGCTAAACAAATAAAATAAACATTGTTTACATCATCAGAGTGCATATCTGTATTCTGAAATATAAAATAAAAAAAATTGATATTGCTGACAGTGTTTACTGTATTCAACCAGAGGCTGGGGTTACTTGGGGTTTGCAACTATGGTGACATGATACCAAGATCCCGTTTCAATCTCGCTCTCGCATAAGCGTTCCAACTCAGAAAAATGCGAATGCGCATGCCCGAGGTAACTAGGATACTGGGATGTCCAGGTGGATCAAAATAGCTGCTCACGATATGACGGATTATATATATTTTCTGTACATTTTCGATGTATTACATTTTTTCACTATGAATGTGGTAATACATGTTTTATTACAAACCGCCTATGTCATGTCAGAAGGTCGTAGCATCAGTCTCGCTATCTACAGATGAGACTTGAATGGGATCTTGACATGTCACCATACAGTACCACGCACGTTGCAAACCCCAAGTAATGTACCTCTGAATCTTGGCATGATGTCCCCATACAGTACCATGCACGTTGCAAACCCCAAGTAATGTACCTCTGATTCAACGTATAGTGCAAATAATCTCAGTCTGCTGAACATATTTCTGATGATATTAAATACATAAAATTCTTCACTCTTTTGGTATAAGATCAGATTTCAAATCGTTGACTTTCTCTGTTTCAGATTCGTTGTAATGCTGTCAATCCTACTGTGGTATTAACAGAACTTGGTAAGAGGAGCTGGAGTGCTCCAGAGAGAAGTGGTCCTCTCATAAATCGTATCCCCTTGAGAAAATTTGCTGGTAAGTGGTGACTTTTAGTATAGAGTGTCATATACAGCATTGAATATATGGTGAGGTGGCACGTATATTATCTAGTGTATAGTGAGGTGGCATGTACAGTGTCCAATGTATGGCTAGGTGGCACGTACAGTGTCCAATGTATGGCTAGGTGGCATGTACAGTGTCCAATGTATGGCTAGGTGGCATATACAGTGTCCAATGTATGGCTAGGTGGCATATACAGTGTCCAATGTATGGCTAGGTGGCACGTACAGTGTCCAATGTATGGCTAGGTGGCATGTACAGTGTCCAATGTATGGCTAGGTGGCATGTACAGTGTCCAATGTATGGCTAGGTGGCATATACAGTGTCT